AAAATTCTAAACCTCTGCAAAAATATTTTTTTCAATTTTAAACCCCCCCCCCCACTCCCACCAAAAAAAATAAAAAAATGAAGGAGCCACTTTGATTTATATAAAGTCAATGGTTCCAAGCCGATGTCTACATGAAATAAGTCATAATAGTGTGTGTGTTTTTCGTCCAATTTCTGCAATGATTTTGTTGTTGTTTTCATGTTGTTACACCTGTTTACTGCTAACTAACTGAATCTTTACCTCGTGGTTATCTGACCTTTATCTAACAGGTGATAATCACCCGTTATCGCGACCACACCTGTCTGACCATCGCACTTGAGAAGCACAAGTGTACAAACCTCAATGACGAAACAAACACTAGCTGTGTGGTGGAAAATCACCCGCGGGATCAGTGAGTTCACATAACATTACCACTGACCTAGCTGGCCAACAACAGCTTATATAACGGCCTCGGATGACTGTTTGCTTCACACTTCAGAAAACGCCGTGCCAGTACCCAGCTCTTACAACGACCGTTACATTGCATGATATTTTATCATCTCTTCTACACCGTAATCATTGCAATCCACGCCGTCCATTGAATGTAAGTTAGTAATTGAAGAATATTTTTCATCGTGCGTATGGTTAAGTAGACAGTTAATTTCCTGCAAAGAAAAGTTTCAAGTGTATGTGCAGTGCATATGTTGAAATGACTAACAAATACAATGTCTATGTATTAGATATGTTCTTTTGCAGTCATTGGAGTCATCAAGGGAGACAATGATCTCGTGTCCAAAGAAAGTGTTGGCGGTGCTCTTCGTCGGAGTGCTGACGTCAGTGACCCTGGGTCAGGTGCCACATGTTGGGAAGTGTCCGGTGGTCGAGACCCAGGCAACATTGAACGTAACACAGGTATTTCGGGGTGTAGGTGTAAACACGGGTATGTCGGGGTGTAGGTGTTAACAAAGGTGTGTTGGGATGAAAGTGTAAACACAGGTATGTTGTGATGAAGGTGCAAACACAGTTATGTTGGGATGAGGTTGTAGACACAGGTATATGAGCCTAGGATATAATATGAACATAGGTATGTCAGGATAGAGGTATAAACATAGGTATGTCAGGATAGAGGTATAAACATAGGTATCTCAGGATAGAGGTATAAACATAGGTATGTCAGGATAGAGGTATAAACATAGGTATGTCAGGATAGAGGTATTAACATAGGTATCCTGAGATTGCCTTGTGCACTGATCATTTACTTGTGTCATTCATTATTGCCTTCCAGTACCTAGGCAAGTGGTATGAGATCCAGAGATTTCCAGCCATCTTCGAGAAAGGCAGCTGCGTCAGGGCCGAGTACTCTCTGAAAGCAAACGGTCGTGTCAAGGTAGACAACCGATACATCGAGTGAGTAATTGGGATCAAATATTTCAGGTTGACATTCTAATATTAATGTAGGCTAATCGATCAACGATAGTACGTGCATTGAATGTGTTGGGCCGGAACTTCATTATTCACTTACAAAGTTACTAATATTTTTTTTTTCAAGATATGTGTGCTATTTTATTATTCAGTTACAAAGTTACTAATATTTTTTTTCAAGATATGTATGATATTTTATTATTCAGTTACAAAGTTACTAATGTTTTTTTTTTCAAAATATGTATGATATTTTATTATCTCTTCTATACCGTAATCATTTTCAAAAAAAAAAAATTCAATGTTCATATCTTAATTGGTTAATCAAACAACTACTTACAAAAACTGACTCGGTCATGCGAATAAACTACAACAAAGAGGATTTCTTATCAGCTTTGAAAATGGAGCAGAGACTAAAAAAGGAGAAGAAGAAGACCTAAGAGTTTTTGAAAACATCAATATAATATAATGTTGATAGAAAGAACCCTTCCTCGTGCGATTAAATTTGTTTCCACGTGCATTAAAACAAAACATATTTAAAATCTTTAAGCACGTGTCATGCTGTATGTTGTGTCCTCCCACCACACCACCCAACCCCTCCCCCCAAAAAAAAAAACAAAAAAACCTCTATTTTGTGACCTAGATAACTTGACTTCTGGTCGCTGTATGATGCTAAACATATCGCCCATTATTCATCTGGGTCAAAGGTTGACAATCTATGTCGGTAACAAAATGATCACTTGTATCTGCAGAAAATGTAAGACAATGATTTCGCTTTGCTTCGTTGATGGTGGTCCATGTTCTCAACATTAACTCTTAGATCATCAACCTATTATCCTCTTACTTCATACATATAGCCACCCCTCTTTAATGGCTGTCGCACCTTAGGGCATTCACCTCCACACCCATCAACACAACTCTTGCAGACGCCCATCCAACACTTGCTTCTATCTCCAGAAGTGGCTATGAGACACACGCCCTAGGTGAGGCCTGGGTTCCTGACCCCAAGTATCCCGCCGTCTTAAATGTACAGTTTAATCAAGGTCAGTTCTGATACACAGATAAGGTAGCCCCGAATGTAGACCACTGATAACCAGATGGCATTTATTTACCCCCCCACAGAAGTTCTCAAATTGTTATTCAAAATGTGTCTGGTAGCAACCAATGAAGCTAACTACGAATACATCATTTAAAGGTCTTTTGGGTGAGATGTTTATCTGAATAAGAGTTGGACAAATGTTAACTTTATTTTAAAGGAAATTATTTTTGTTAATTTAGGAAGGGCATGTTTAAAAGAATGATATTTAAAATTTTAAATAATCGTGTAGTTCAATCGCTCACTACTTCCTTGGAGTAGTTAAAGTGTAGTTCAATCGCTCACTACTTCCTTGGAGTAGTTAAAGTTAAACATATGGTTTAGGTGCCTTCTCTTTGGCTTGGTCGAAATTAAAAAAAATGTATTGTACCCTAAAATTCAATATCACAATAATTCCTTTAACAGGACTTGTTAATCGCTAAATACTATTTAAAGTAGCCGTCAAAGTAAAGGAATACCATGTATTATTCCATGGTCCTGGTCCCACTGTGTCTTGTTTCCCTCTACATATTTACCTAGCTAAAGTTATTGACAGTGGTTGTTTCCCTTGTGTAGACCAGTTTCCTCTCGAGATTTAAAAAAAAAAACATAATGAAAACTTCATAGTGCTGTAAGAAGATTGATGCTGATTATATGAATGTCTTTTTCCGCCTTTTTCTGCAAACAGCTATACCGCCTGCCCAGTACAAGGTCATAGAGACGGACTACGAGTCCTACAGCCTGGTGTTCTCGTGTGAAGATGTGGCTGGAATCATAGACTTCCAGTTCGCCTGGATTTTGTCCAGAAAACTGACCCTCCCTGACGACCTGGTCACTCGCTTAAAACAGAAGCTGCAGTCCTACCAGGTCGACGTTACGGCATTTATAGTCTCAGACCAGACCAACTGCCCAATGTAAGGACAGGTGGAATGTATAGTCACAGACCAGACCAACTGCCCAATGTAAAGACAGGTGGCATTTCTTTCGTAAAATGTAACGTGACAATTGAGATTAATAGATTAATATAAATATAATTGAAGACTTTCGAACTTCGCTTGTATCAACGACAATATTGTTTATACCAATTTCTAAAATATTTCATTCAACGTTCACTTTATTTACTACAATACAAAATCATTGCTTGGAACCAACTGGGCAATGCCGCCGTGGACTCGACATCAATCGAGAGTTTCAAGGCTGAACCGCTGGGAGCCGTTAGGATGGCCGCATCGTTTTCCAAACCGTTGCACATATGCTAGTGCATGGATGCAGCAACGTAGACTATCAGAGTCAGAATCTCGTTGAATAAACATTTGCTTCATTTTTCAACGACATTATTGACTTCTTTTTTTAAAAAATTCATTATGGGTTTGATATCATAGCACCCTTTAAACTCATCCATTTGTTTAAACTCATCCATTTATGTTTGATATCATACCGCACATTAAACTCATCCATTTATGTTTGATATTATAGCACCCCTTAAACTCATCCCTTTAATTAACCCCATCAAATTATGCTGAACTATTTCTCTTTGTTTCGTGTACTTACTGGAAATAAAAGCTGTTCCAATAAATATACGTGTCAATTGCTTTTTTTATTATTTGAAACCATTTAAACTACTAACTTCAGACCCGCTGATAACATTCCTTTTCAAATTCCCGTCTAAAAAATCTGCAATCATTATTTACTTATATATATAAGAATAAATGACCCGATGTTATCGGGGTAATAATGGTAGGTCCTTTGCGATAATTTTTTAACTGCTATTGAAAAAACTCATTACAATTCATAACTTTTTAAATGTAATAATATTTACGTTTCTGACATCATTAAGTTTTGAGAAGTGCTTATCTGCTATATATTATACGCCTATCCTACACCCTTTCACGCTCCTAAACTACTTTTCCCCCTCTAAACATGACCTTAAATTACCCAGTCTAAATTATCACTAATTATATCACTTTTGTCAATAAAGAAATTAATTGAATGACAATTACTGCGCTAGAGAAATACTTTAGATTTACCCCTTTTCGTGCCCTTTAATTAAAACTTTTTTCTCTCAAAATTTTTTAAAAACCTAATCTTAAATTTACACAAAAAAAACTTCATATATGATATAAATATATTTTGTATTACAGGATATCGATGTATATTGATATCTTCATGAGAAATGTACACATGTTTATGCCTTTTTTTAAAAATTATACATTATCAGAAAATCGTACAACAAAGAATTTTTTATCTAAGAAGAATCTCGCAACTGTTTTTCAGGCCTGTATCAGATTTGACTGTCTTTTTTAAAAATTTAATTGTTAAACTCATAAAAATACTCACCTCTTTACTTTTTGCAAAGTAACAAAAAAAATATATTTTAATTTGAAAAAAAAAAAGAAAATATTAACCCATCGTCATTTGTCAAAATTTTATTTTCAAGTGTGTAAAAATTATTGGGTTTTGATATTCATGGATTTACTTATATAAATATACCAAAGATTTGTTAACGCCATTGATTTTCTTAATTGGTAAACATATGTTTATTTGTAAAAAGAGAATTTAACATCTCTTTTTTCACTAATGCAATATCATACATGGGCGCCCGCAGGGGGGGGGGCACTTGCACCCCCCCCCTGGATTGATTGGATAAAAAATGTTTAGACAAAAATAGACAAAAATAGACAAAAAATGTATTTAAGTAAGGAGAAAATAAAGAGAAAGTAACTAAGCTGATGTCCTGTCCGTTCGTTCACCATACAAATATGCTACAGTAAATTAAAACTATATTAAAACATTAATAAACATTTTTGCACCCCCCCCCTTAGAAAGATTTTGCCCCCCCCCCCTTATAAAGTTTATCCGTTCCCCCCCCCCCCCCATTAGAAATTTTTTTGTGGGCGCCCATGATACCATAGGATTTAAGTATATTGTCATCCATGTAAAAATGTACACATCCTTTTTCCTATCTCCGATATGTATGTACCCAAAAAGGTTAATTATTAATCAAATTAATTCCTTTATTTTGGATCGTATCTTGTATTGCCTGGGCAAAATGAACATACCAATATTTGTCAAATGAGAATGTAGCATCTCTTTTTCACAAATGTGATACCATAGGAGTTAAATATATTGTCATCCACGTAAAAATGTACACATCCTATTTCCTACCTCCGATTTGAATGTACACAAGAAAATGAATTATTTATCCAATTCATTCCTTTATTTTGAGAGTTATCTTGTGCTGCTTTGAGCAAAGTGAACATACATATATTTGTAAAAAGAGAATGCAACATCTCTTTTTTCACAAATGTAATACCATACCATTGAAATATATTGTCATCTACGTAAAAGTGTACACATCCTTTTTCCTATTTCCAATATGTATGTACCCAAGAGGGTTAATTATTAATCAAATCAATTTCTTTATTTTGGGACTTATCTTTCATTGCCTTGGGCAAAATGAACGTAACAATATTTGTAAAAAGAGAATGCAAAATCTCTTTTTTCTTAAATGTAATACCATAGGATTAAATATATTGTCATCCACGTAAAATTGTACACATCTCATTTCCTACCTCCAATATGTATGTACCCAAGTAGGTTAATTATTTATCAAAACCATTCCTTTATTTAGAGACGTATCTTTTGCTGCCTTGCACAATATGAAAATACCAATATTTGTAAAAAGAGAATGTAGCATCTCTTTTTTCACAAATGTAATACCATAGGATTTAAATATATTGTCATCTACGTAAAATTGTACACATCCTATTTCCTACATCCGATATTAATGTACCCAAGAAGGTTAATTATTTATCAAAATCATTCCTTTAATTTGAGACGTATCTTGTATTGACTGGGGCAAAGTGACCAACCCCTCCCCCACCCAGATTTAAATAAATTTAGAAAATCTTCCACCGGATTGTAGTCCCTTCGATACCCAAACTAACATCTTTTGCACTTCACATGGTTCGTTCTTATTTGTATGAGGTATAAGTTGATTAGTGAATGCAATTTAGCTATGGAGTTGAACTCCACTGATTGATTTAAACCGCATTTTCTTATTAGAATTATATTTAAAGGTTAGTTTTTGTTACGTTATAAATTTAATAAAAGTATATTTTGGAATCAAAACAGGCAAAATTTTTTGAATGTAAAAATATACAAAGTACAAATGTGTTTGTCTTTAAATTAACAATTTAAGAAGCAATCAATTGTTTTTATTAATTTTATTTTTAAGAAGGGAAAATACATTATCAGTTTTGACACGCACGGTTATTAAATTTAAAGAAACCTTATAGTTTTGGCGAAATAGGCTATTCGCGCTATGACGTCATTTGCATGATTATTTAGAGCAAATTCATTTTAATTTTAATTCGCAATATTAAAAACGCACTAAAAACGCACTAAAAACAACTGATGTTTGGGTTTTCCCGATTAATGTGATTACGGTGTATTTCTTTGAACATATTTTTTTTTAATATATTTTTTTCATACCTTTCAAGCGCATATAAAATGCTTAAAATAATACCTTAGTTGATACTTTAAATGTATTTGTAATTTATAATAATAATATTTAAACTTTTACTGAAATAAAAGTGTATTTTAAATATCTTTTGCTCATTTAAATTTATTCGATTTCCGTAAAATAATAGAAAATAACTATGATTGTTTTTAGGAATCCGAACGTACTTAAATAGTATCTTCCTTTTGGCGTTATGTGACTCTAGCTCATTCTTATATAAATATATGATGGCTTTTATGCATGTAACTCTAGTCCTAGATAATAACGTACCCGACAATGAATCTCTTCAGCATTTAAAATAAAAATGTGTTTTAAAAGTTATGTGTTCTGTTTACTTTTAAATTGAAGAGAAACTTTTAAAAAAGTATCCTAAATAAAACTTGGCGTCGTGGCCAGATAAAAAAAAAACGGTTTAAAAAGCATGTCAAAACAATTAAAACAAATAAAGTTTGGTTTAAGTATTAAAATAAGCCAATAAAAAGATGGTATGCGATGTCACGCCATCTTAACGAATGGGCATGCTGGTCAGTTGACCAGGCATACTATGAGCTTAAGGGCATCTTTTTAGTATTTATATGTGTTTAAACTAGTGTATACTTTACCTTATACTGTATTTCTTACGTACGTTAATAGAGAGGAATAGATTTAATTTTATTACAATCTAAAAAATTAAACTAAACATTTTTTTTTTAAAACTCACCATACAAAAAAAAAGATGATTGTAGAAATGATTCACAAATGATTAAATACTGTTTTAACGTCATCTGCTATTTTGTGACATAGTCAGTCCACTCTTAGTTTTCTGCTACTTTGTGACGTAGTCAGTCCACTCAATGCCACATTCAAACTGCTGACATCGGTCAGTTCCTAGCGTCACTAGTTTCGTTAAAGCTGCCATTTCTCATGGTCCGATTTCACAATCTCTCAAGTGCCTCACGTGATTCACCAGCTGATAAATCAAGAACTTCTGAACTCAACTCCGGGGACTTTGTTTCGTTTCTTTATTGAAAAAAGATGTCAATTTCCAGTATTTTTTTTTTATATTTATATTTTTTTCTTGTGTCAATCTTTATTAACACGGTGATTCTTTGTTTTTAATGCATAATAAAAAATTTAACATAAAATTAGGCACTTTTTTTAAAATGAGAAAACCAGGCTAAGCACCTAGCAATACCGCACCTATTTTTTTAATATATACAATATATATATATATATATATATATATAATATACGCCTTGGGGCTCATCTCCAATCTGTTGAGGATCACTCTCGGTGCTTCCTATTTTTTTTTGCTTTTAAATTTTTTTTATTAGATTCTATAATTTATCACTTGGCCTTTCAATATTGTAATATGACACTTATGAACACAGCATGACACCGTAAAAGACTATTTGCTAATCTACTAAATTTACCAATTTTTCCTTGTAAAACTTTTCTTCATTTATTTAAATCAGATACTATTAGATGACGTCATGGTTGTGATCGAACTTACATAAATCCTGAAATAACTAGACCTAGGTTCAGTCCCCAGCCCGTATATAACCTCTACGCCGTCTCCACCACAAGAACCGCCTGCAGTAAGACTCGAACTCAGCCCTCAACATGTCTCTGCTCATATTTCTAGTTCTCTCCTTCGGATGTTTGTACCTCGCTGACGCCCAGCTGTCCCTTTTCGGGGCCTGTCCGGTCGTTACGTCACAGAGCACATTTGATGTGAACAAGGTAATGGATTAATCCAACTAAGGCTTTGATAAGAGCCATTTTATAGCTAAACATTGTATTCGCTGAACGCATCAGTTGGCGTACCTAATGCTAGAGCGGAGGGGGGGGGCACCACCTATGGTGGGCATTTTATGAGATTGTATGTAGCCTTATATATGAATGACGTGTGTGTAAGTGTGTATTAGGGGCTGCACTTGTGGGAGTTCCTATTTATTCAAGGACCGGGTTTGGCAGCATTATAACATACACTGTATTATGACGCGCTGAAAACGTTGTGAAATAAACACAAAGGATGAGCAGTTAAATGTCTAGTTAAAACTTAATATGTATTTAGTCACCACGGAGTGTGCCACACGACGCATATACCCGACATATAATCAGCATTTAATCATTAATCAACTGAAGTCCATGTTCGTTTCAGTATCTCGGCATATGGTACGAAATCAAAAAGTTCCCCAACATCTTTGAGAAGGGAGACTGTGTGAGGGCGCGCTACGCCCTCAAGGACAACGGCAAAGTGGAAGTGTTCAACAGATACTACGAGTAAGGGCGTTTAGTCTAGACTTCTTTATATCTATTAAAGTGCCTACTAGATAGTGTCTACTAGATAGTGTCTTCTACACAGTGTCTTTGACAACAGATATTACGAGTAAATGTATTTAGTCTCTATTTCTTTATATCCACTAGCGTCTACCAGATAATCTATTGTCTATGACAACATATGTTATGAGTTGAGGCATTTAGTCAGTATTTCTTTATATCTACTCTTGTCAACTAGATAGTGCTTGACAACAGGTTTTACGAGTAAAGGCATTTAGTCTAAATTTCTTTACATCTACTATTGTCTACTAGATGATCTAGATCCTTTGACATTTTTAAACTTAGCTATAGACTAGTGATTAAAGGAGCCATTCGAAGTTTGAACATTTAAATAATAAGTTCAAGAAACAGTTAATGGGTGTTGAATCGTGTAGGGCAGTGGTCCCCAAATGGCGATCCGTGGACCTTCACCGGTCCGCATGCCTAACGCTGCCGGTCCCCATAACACAAATATTTTTTTTGTCAAATAGAAATAAAGGTATAATAATAAATCATGCACCGGTCCCTGGTAAAATTTCGAAACTTGTTCACCGGTCCACCAAACTGAAAAGTTTGGGAACCACTGGCCACTGGTGTAAGGTACTTGTACCATAATCAGGATTGGGAAACGTTGCTCAAAAGTTTTAAAGATGACGTGTCATTTGTGTAATATTTACAGCCACATATTTTTTTTAGAGCTCTTGATAAATAATGACCTTCACGGGTCAATCTTAAATTTGATGCTTCGAATTCTTCTAGGAACGGCACTGAGCACAGCGCCCTGGGTGAGGCTGAGATCCCCGACCCCACCAAGCCAGCTATTCTCAGTGTTAAATTCAACATGGGTGAGTGATTCAGGGCTGATTTTCTTCTTAGTAAAGCTGTGGAATAACTTGACGCCTTACGGACGCAGTTTTTAAAGCTGCCCTCCCTTCTCACACAGTCGGGGGTTGTCCCCCTTCTTAAACGAACTGGGGCTGTCTCCCTTCTTACACAATCTGGGGCTGTCTCCCTTCTTACACAATATGAGGCTGTCCCCCTTCTTACACAATCTTGGGCTGTCTCCCCTCTTACACAATCTTGGGATGTCTCCCTTCTTACACAATCTTGGGCTGTCTCCCTTCTTACACAATCTTGGGCTGTCTCCCTTCTTACACAATATGGGGCTGTCTCCCTTCTTACACAATCTTGGGCTGTCTCCCTTCTTACACAATATGGGGCTGTCCCCCTTCTTACACACTCTGGAGTTGTCCCCCTGCTTACACAATCTGGCGCTGTTCTCCTTCTCATGCAGCAAGGGGTCTGTCCAAATTTAGTACAAATACAAACCCTAGCGTTGAAGTGAAAAACCCAAAAATACTGCCTGTGCATTTCAGCATCTCCAGCGGCCGAGTATCGAGTGGTAGAGACCGACTACAAGACGTACAGCTTGGTGTACTCGTGCACTTTGTTTGCCGGCCTCTTTAGGACAGAGTTTGCCTGGATCCTGTCCCGTACCACATCACTGGACGGCGCCTTGGTGACGCGACTAGAGCAGAAGCTCGCCTCTTACAATGTCAACGTGGCTGCTTTTGAAGGCACCAATCACAGCAATTGTCCACCTTAAAGTTAATCATTTATTTGGGTTGAAAAGGAGAAAAAGGGGAGGGGAGTATTGAATTAGGAAAACTTAAATTAAATATGGCCTTAAAAGGGGGGGAGTTATGTGTTTTTATAGAGTAACAATAAACGAATTTATATATGTGTGTGATGTTTGATAGAAGAATTTATATTTTCAGTTATTATGTGTCAACTATGGTTAGAGTGTCATATACTATTGTTTGTAATAAAAGAGACTACTTTTCCATCAAGATATTATGAAATTGTAGAGAATAAATTAATAAAGATGATGTGCTTTTGATCTAGTGTTTACACAATAGTTGTGCTGCCAATTCTCAGACCGTGCAACTACCACTTACCTCATACTGCATCAACACGTCATACTTTTATGCATTTGATTTAAGGAATGATTAGCGTGCTTTCCCCCTCTTAAATAATTTAACAATTATTTAGCGTCCAATTTTTAAAAACATTTTTTTTTAAACTCTGGATTAAACTCTTTTTGTTGTTGTAAATAAAACATAATAATGGTTAAAATATATTTATTAATGTATTATGATATTTCTATGACATTTCTATTAAAATTTTAGACAGATTAATCATTTTTACATTGTTTGGTTCATTGTTCCGATCTTAAATTTAATCGAGCTCTCCGTCTGTCGCTAACCCTTTTGTGTGTGGTAACAATTTGGGATGCCTTCTTTATGATTAATAATTTAAATATCAAATACTTTATCTTTATGCTTAGAGGTCTAAATGAAACTTAACAGAAATTACGATGAAAAGGAGAGAGATGAGAAATTTTGGAATTATCAAGGGGGGGGGGGCGGCTCTATCAGGGAGTAAAACAATATCAAGGGGGACAACTAAAACAGGGCTTTATTCCCACCAATTGGGGCTTTTTTGGA